GGTAGGATTAAGAAATCAAAGTTTTGGCTTGGCACCTGTGGCTCAAGCGGCTAAGGCGCCAGCCACATACACCTAAGGTGGCGGGTTCGAATCCCCAGCCTGGGCCCGCCAAACAACAATGATGGCTGTAACCAAAAAATGGCCAGGCGTTGTGGTGGGCGCCTGTAGTCCCAGCTACTTGGGAGGCTGAGGCAGGAGACTCGCTTGAGCCCAGGAGTTGGAGGTTGCTGTGAGCGTGATGCCATGGCACTCTACCCAGGGGGATAGCTTGAGGTTCCGTCTCAAAAAAAAAAAAAAGAAATCAAAGTTTTTAATCTCTGCTTTATCATTCTAGATAGTAAGATTATTTTTATTTCTGACCTTTAAAAAAATTGTTTCTTGAATTAATTTATATTGTATGATCTTCAAATTTATCTCCTCTATGGGTCAGTGTCAAGATAAAAGCTATTTACTTGCCACAGAATAAGAATTTTCACTAAGGGCTTTGAAACAAAAAACTAATCCTTGGACAGGATAAAATTAACCTATGAAGTTGCTAATCTAAATTACTAAAAAAAGGCATCAGAGTTCTGGTACTTATGTCTTTTCTCTTATATACTCTTTTTAAATTTATTTTTTATTTTTCATTATTATAGTACATATTAGTTATATATCTTTATAGGGTATGTATGATGTTGTAATACAGGCATATAATATGAATTAATCAAATCAGGATAACTGGGGTATCCATTACCTCAGGCATTTAACATATCTTTGTGCTAAAAACATTCCAGTTTCACTTTTTAAGTTACTTTAAAGTATACTCTAACTTATTGTTGATTCTTATACACTCTTATTTAAAACTTCAAATCTCTAGGCCTGATAACAGTAGTTCACACCAGTAACCTCGGCACTTTAGGACACCAAGGCAAGAGGATCCTTTGAGACAGAAGTTCAAGACTATACCGGGTAACATGGCAAAACTCCATCTCTACAAAAAATAATATTAACCAGGTATGGTGGCACATACTTGTAGTCTCAGCTACTGAAGACTAAGGCAGGACTGGTCAAGCCCAGGAGCTGAAGACCAGCCTGAGCAATATAGCAAGACCTGGTCTCAAAATAATATATAAATAAATAAAGTTCCGATCTCTGTGAATAATTTCCTATCAAATGGATACAATATCTAATTTGATAACAATTTATTAAAATATTGTAAATTTAGTGAGTGCTAAAATTATGGCTTGCCTTTGACACTTCTGTAATCTTACCACTATTTTATAGAATCCTCACTATCATAATGTATTTATAATAGCATTTTACAAATGTATGAACTCAGAGTAGGTCAACAGACAGAAAATACAAAGCAGAGACGACCCATTCTAACTGGATACCCAATAGAAGGTATCAGAAATCTGAACTCTTGGTTCCTAGAACATAATGGAACACATTCACAATTGTACTATTAGTGGTTTACAATTTATTTATTGTTTTTTTATACTATCAACTTCATTCTCCATGACTATAAATGAGGCACATCATTTCTATTTTAATTTAGAGTACATTTAGTTTTCTACTCTTGTAAAGTCTACCAGACTATAAAATTTTAAATAGGTCCTTAGACATAAATAAAGAGAAAAATAAAATACTATAGCAGGCAGCACCTGTGGCTTAGTGGGTAGGGTGCTAGCCCCATATACTGAGGGTGGCAGGTTCAAACCCAGCCCCAGCTGAACTGCAACCAAAAAATAGCTGGGCATTGTGGCGGGCGCCTGTAGT